ATAATCCTTCTGCATACAGTATGTGACACTGTGAGTGTTGCACGGCCAGATACGGCTCAGCTGACTCAGATAAGGAGAGATATGATACGATATGATGTGATATGCCGCGGACTGTACTTAATGTTACTCTGATCCGGTTACTTATGTTGTGGCAGATATTTAAGTAAGCTTTCTTAATGCTAATGTTATAATAGTCAGATTGCTCTGAAGATGGGAGGTGATATTCTATTAATGTTCACGTTCACACAGTCGCTGATTTTGGTCGGCCGTCTTCCTGCAACGGCAGTTTAAACTGTATTTCCTCCGCACACTGAGCTCTGATTGGTACCGGAAATCCCAGAAGTTATCTTGCTAAACGAAAATCCTGCTTCGTAGTATACCCCCCAGGTCCCGACCAGGTTAGCCGCTCAGCATAAGTTACCATGGAGATCTAGCCCGCTAAAAAGAGAACCAGCGTCGTAGGACCGGAAACCCCGAGTTTTCCCTGATGTTAGCCCGCTAAGCGAAAATCCGGCTTCGTCGTACAGGCCTCAGGAAAGCAATATCATTCATAACAGTGAAGCCAAAAGGGTCACAGAAACAAATGATAATTAACAAATAATCATAATAAATGTAACAAATGAAATAAAAAAATAAACTATAACATCATTTCACATTTATTTATAAATTCCAAATTAACTTTAATAACAAGTATGGCTTTTGGGCTGGGTTTGCATAAAACATCCACATTTTGAAATATTGTTTCATAACCATTTTGGGTTACTTATTATTATTATTATTATTATTATTATTTGTGTCAAATGCTTTAATAAACCTCAGGAGGACTTCCTTTTCAGTGAAATTAATAAAGCGTTTTGAATGACTGTAACTTTGTTGTGGCCAGATGGAAGAGTAATTCCACGGGAGATTAAAAAGAAGGCGGATAAGATTGATGGCGAGGCTGGAGGTGATGGAGAAAAGAAGGGGAAAAAGAAGACGAAAAAGAGGGCGGAGGAGAAGGAGAAAGAAAAAGAGAAAAAAGAGGAGGAGGAGGAAGAAGAGGAGGATGAGGAGGAGAAGGTGATCTTCGTCCACTACGAGCAGAGGAAGGTGATGCTGTCGCAGCTTCACCCCATCGAGAACGGCCTTTCAGACCCAAAAACGGACCCAACCTCTGAGCTGAGACAGGTACACCAGCAGTGCCTCATGTCATTCCTGTTTGAGGTTTTCTATCATGTAATACAGAGTTTATGCACGTGCTAAGAAAAAACTACTTTTGTTTTAGAAATGCTAGGAATTTCTTTCTTTGGGCTCGTATTGTAAGATTGCCTTTTCTCCCACAATGCAGCAACACATCCTAAAGAAAAGAATAATAATGCAGCATGACATTTAAACAGTTTGGCATCACATTGGAGGTAAATCATCAAATATTCGACCTGTTCCCAGAGGGTGTGCAGAGTGAAGTGCATGTTAATGGATATAAGCAGCCATTAATATCCCTAACCCCCTCCTCTCCTCTGGGCAGATGTTCCGCTCGGTGGCCCTCAGCCAGCCTCTGTTCTTCCTGGACCGATACGACGACGGGCCCCTGAAGTCCACACACTGGCAGTCTGAGGGTCGAGAGGCCAGCATCATCGTGGAGCTGCTGAAACACTCCACCCTGCCGCTCTGCGTGCTGATTCGCTGGCTGCTCAGCATCTGGACCTGGATCTGTGACATCCGGTGAGAGGGGGGGAGGAGGCAATGTGCTCCATTTGAGTGAATGTCTACAAAGCCAGTCGTACGGGCAGCTATGAGACCAACAACAGGCTTAGTAAGAGGATATTTGATTCAGCTTTATTATTTTTGCACAGAGCATCTAACCAGAAGACAGCAAAGTGATAAAGTGCAGAGTATATTTACACATTTCTTTAACATTAGATGTATAATCAAATCAGGCCTGCAACGATTAGCTTAATAATATATAATTCCTCATATTTCTTTCTAATAAATTAAGATATTATTCCTCTGCTCTAGAACATTTCAGAAAATAGTGAAACATATAAATTCCCGTTGGTTAAAGGTGGGGTAGGTCATTTTGGAGAAACCAGCTCGAGTGCGCTAGAATTTGAAAATACACAGCTGGAAAAAAATCTGCCACTTCCTAACAGAGCCCCTCCTCCAACACACACGAACGCGCACATGACCAATGAGGGCACGAGATAAGTTTGTGCACAGATGGAAGGCTGACAGGCAGGTAGGCCATCCAGTTACTTTAGCCGGGCCGGCTAAAAAGATTGGTCGTGCTTTTTACAGCACTACAGCTTCCACAGATGACTTTCTTTATGGATTTTTTGTCAAAGCGCTTAAGATATTCATTGCTATCGGGATGTTAAGAGCATTCCATGGAATATAACAAAAAGGTGTAATCTCG